GAATCGGGATCGGCTCCCGGGAATCGGGATCGGCTCCCAGGGAATCGGGATCATTCCGGGCGGCACTGGGACCTCTCCCAGATGGATTTTGGGGGTTTGGGGACCCTCTGATACCCCCCATGGGTTCATTTTTGGGGTTTTGGGACTTCCTGAGCCTCTCTGGGGTCAATTTTAGGGGTTCAGGGAGGCTCCGACGCCACAAGAGCCAAATTTTGGGGTGGAGCCCAAAATCGGGATAAAGGAACGGCCTCCAGACGTCCCAGGCTGGGAAATTTGGGAGAATTCCTCCCAAAAACGGGCTCAGGGAGGTCTGGCCATCCCTGGAGGCTTCCCAGGAATTCCTGGAATTCCGGATGACCCCGTGGGCTTTCCCAACCCAAATAATTCCCGGGATTGCTCCGAAAATCCCCAAATCCGCCCCCTCCAAAGCCACTCTGGGGACATTCCAAAGGCAGGGCTCGAATTTTATCACTTTGTCACCTGATTTTGGGTTTGAATTTTATCACTTTTTCCCCTAATTTTGAGTTTGAATTTTGTCGCTTTCCCCCCTGATTTTTGGCTCTGAATTTTGTCATTTCTCCCCTGATTTTTGGGCTGAATTTTGTCATTTCTCCCCTGTTTTTGGCCCTGATTTTTGGGCTGAATTTTGTCTTTTCTCCCCTGATTTTTGGCTCTGAATTTTGTCATTTCTCCCCTGATTTTTGGGCTGAATTTTGTCATTTCTCCCCTGATTTTTGGGCTGAATTTTGTCATTTCTCCCCTGTTTTTTGGCTCTGAATTTTTCCACCTCACCCCCAGATCCGGAGGAGGCCGAATTCGTCCCCTCCGCCCCGATTGGGATCTGAATTTGCTGCAGAACAGGAAACAAAGGGCAGGAAACGCCTCTCGAGCTCTCGTTTTTGCCTTATTTGTAGCTAAAAACTCGCCGGGGGCTAAAAACCCCCCAGAGCCGTGTCCGGCTGTGTCCAGAGCCATGTCCGGCCGTGTCCGGCTGTGTCCAGAGCCATGTCCGGCCGTGTCCGGCTGTGTCCAGAGCCATGTCCGGCCGTGTCCGGCTGTGCCCAGAGCCATGTCCAGCCGTGTCCAGCCATGTCTGGCTGTGTCCAGAGCCATGTCCGGCCGTGTCCGGCTGTGTCCGGAGCCATGTCCAGCCATGTCCAGCCGTGTCCGGCTGTGTCCGGAGCCATGTCCGGCCGTGTCCGGCTGTGTCCAGAGCCATGTCCAGCCATGTCCAGCTGTGTCCAGAGCCATGTCCAGCCATGTCCGGCTGTGTCCAGAGCCATGTCCGGCCGTGTCCGGCTGTGTCCAGAGCCATGTCCGGCCATGTCTGGCTGTGTCCAGCTGTGTCCAGCTGTGTCTGACCATGTCTGGCCGTGTCTGGCCATGTCTGGCCCTGTCCAGCTGTGTCCAGCCATGTCCGGCCGTGTCCGGCCATGTCCAGCC